AAAAGCATAAGACTAGGTGTCAAACCTAAATATTAACATGTCAAGCTTTCAGGCCTGGGCTCTTTTTACCACATTTTGCTGCTTATATAAAATCTACATGAGGTGTATTAACCAGCGGCTCCATAATGGGCTCAGATAAAGAATTTAATTAGATGTTTAGCTTTTGAGGAACCTTCATACTGTTTTCCAGAGTGGCTGCTCCAGTTTGCATTCCCACCAACAGTGTAAGAGGGTTCCCCTTCCTCCATATCCTCGCCTACATCTGTTGTTTCCTGTGTTAATTTGCCATTTTGACAGGTGTGAAGTGGCATCTCATCATCGTTTTGATTTGTATTTCCCTTATGATGAGTGATGTTGAGCATCTTTTCATGTGTCGTTAGCTATCTGGATGTCTTCTTTGAAGAAGTGTCTCTTCATGTCTTCTGCCCATTTCTTAACTGGATTATTTATTTTTTGAGAATTGAGTTTGGTAAGTTCTTTATAGATTTTGGATACTACCCTATGACCCAGCAATTGCACTACTAAGTATTTACCCAAAGGATACAAAAATACTGATAAACACCCCTATGTTTATAGCAGCATTATCAACAATAGCAAAATTAAGGAAAGAGCCCAAATATCCACTGACTGATGAATGGATAAAGACGATGGAATATTATTCAGCCATCAAAAAGAATGGAGTTTTGCCATTTGCAATGACATGGATGGAGCTCGAGTATATTATGCTAAGTGAAATAAGTCAGAGGAAGAAAAAAACTATATGATTTCATTCATATGTGGAATTTAAGAAACAAAACAGATGAACACAGGGGAAGGTAAAAAAAAAAGAAAAAGAAAGGGAAACAAACCATAAGAGACTCTTAACTATAGAGAACAAACTGAGGGTTGATGGAGGGGAGGTGGGTAGGGAATGGGTACTAAAAAGGGCACTTGTGATGGGCACTGGGTGTTATATGTAAGTGATAAGTCACTAAATTCTACTTCTGAAACCAATATTACACTGTACAATAACTAACTAGAATTTAATTAAAATCTTGAAAAAAATAAATAAAAACTGAATTTGTATTTTTTAAAAAAGAATTTAATTAGATGTAACTGAAAAGAACATTCTAAAAGAACTACGTATAATATCTTTCACACTTTTTAACACTCCAAGCAAGTTGTAGGATTTATATTTATAATTGTTCTTATCTATATGCATGCTAATCAATTATAGAGTTAAATAAAGATTTCATCCCAAAAGATCAAGTGATTTCAGAGCCAACTCAGTGCTTTTGTTAAAATTCTCTCACAGAGTTTCCACAGCTTCTGGTAGTCTGTGGCCATCTCCAGAACACACCTTCCAAGTCCAACACACTAGCGCAAGTACCAGAGTCGTAGAGACAGGACACCAAGATGGTCATGATATCTTTTCTATTGATTCTTTTTTTTTTTTTAAGATTTTATTTATCCATTTGCGAGAGAGAATGAGAGACAGAGAGCACGAGAGGGAGGAGGGTCAGACGGAGAAGCAGACTCCCCGCTGAGCAGGGAGCCTGATGCAGGACTCAATCCCGAGACTCCAAGATCATGACCTGAGCCGAAGGCAGTCGCTTAACCGACTGAGCTACCCAGGCGCCCCTCTATTGATTCTTTTATAGCTCTGCAGATACTGGGCTTCAATGAGAAAGGGTAAACTTTTTCCCCAAAAGAGGTTATATTAGGTGAGTTCCTGGGAGTTCAACGTGAACACTCTCCATTTCTCATTTCTCCTTTTCTAGCCCAGACCCGGGCTGATTTAATTTCCTCTCCACACAAACTAAGGAGAGGAGCTGAGTAGTACAGCTCACATGTGGATTTATGAATTTGGGGTGAAGGCATGGACTATCAATCCTCCTACCCTGTTTTTCCTCTTATTTTCTGTCTGTTCTCCTTGAGGTTTGTGTGGCGGACAGATGCCATGAGACTAGTGGTTGGAGAAATGGTGTCAGATTTGGTGATGGTGATAGAGGAAGAAAAGAGCTGTTAGAATTAGTGCAGCACATGAACTTTGTCAAAGAGAATGACATCAACTTAATAACATTTAAAGGCATGAGAGAACATAGTAAACCTTGAAAGACCTTGCCCTTGAGGTCTTATCTGATGGCAAGGAAAACAAAGTAATAAAAAAGTAAATCACAGGAAATGAGATGTCTTGAGACAACAGGGCAAGGTAAAGATATTTCATAAATATAAGTTATTCTTATCCCTCCAGTGCTGGGCATAATGAAAGGAAAATGAGTAATCAATAGAATAATGGATTTAAAGTCAGAAAACTTTGCTTCCAGTCCTGGCTCTAATACTAAACAACTGGGTGATACTGGTGAAGTAACCTCACCTCACTATTCCTTAATTTGCTCATTTTGTGAAAGGGTGGTGACACCTGCCTAGCCATCGCCCAAGACTGTCATGTATGTAAAGCAGCAACAACAAAACGAAACAAGCAAAAAGGAATGAGTGTCTTTGGAACACTGTAAAATGCCATACAACTCTTAACTGTTTATTATAATTATTCTCTAAGGTGCTGGCCAGAGTGTATTAGTCTCAGTAACCAATGGAAGTTTCAATGGTATTGGGAAGAACTGTCTAGCAAAACATTTTTGATTCTTGTGTGAAACTAAACAGCGATACCATTTTTATAAGTCAGGTTATGAAAATAACTGTGCTGGAACGTGGAAATAAACTTCTACAAATAGACACTGATTGGAAATGGATTCAGACTCTAGAGGTATATATCTCTATATCTATCAGTCTATCATCTATCTATCTATCTATCATCTATCTATATCTATCATCTATAGATAGATAGATAGATATCTCTAGAAGTATAGAGGTATATATCATCAGGTGGCAGGATTTATTTATCTTCTACCAGTTGGAAGAATATTAAGGAACAAGGTGATCAATGGAGAAAGAAAGAATTTGGGAACAAATAAATTTTGGATCAGTGTCAGCTCCATTAATAGCTGTGTGATTCTGGGCAAATTATGCACCTCCTCTGACTTCAGTTTTCTCACCTATAAAATGAGTATAATAATATAATAAAATGAGTATAATAATATTTAAGTTGCAAGGTCAGATTATATTGTTAGGTAACATAAAGTGCCTAGTGCAGAGCCCGGTCCAGTGGCAGGCACTCAATGAATATGAGCTATTACGATCTCACTTTGCCCAGTTCCTCTCATAGTCTATATACTTGTTTACCTATATTTTCCCTATTCTATTTCTTTCTTGAATAGTCTGTCTTGTAGCCTCCCTGTATTTACCAGACTAACCTGCACATAGACGCCTTTAAAATGTTTATTTAAACTCCATATTTCCTTCATTATGTCTACCTGGTCATAATAAAATCACTCATTCTTCATCTTGTGTTAGAATCACCTTATTGCTCCTGTAAAGATATGCTATTCAATTTATCGTGTGAATACTTAGGATGCCTCACACACCTGCTGACCCCAGAAGTAATCATAAACATGGAACAACATAGAACCATGGGAAAAAAATAAAAAAGAAATGAGAATAGAAGAGTTAAAGGGAACTTTAAATAGAAACGACCATCCTAAGATTTAATGTTGTATAATACATTCATTTTCATTTTTATATATAGACAATTTTCAGGATAGAAACTTACTTCTCATGACTAGTAAAATAAATATAATTGTTGGTACCCTATTGAGCAAATCAGAGAGCCTTTTTAACTTCCTTATTCCATTTCTTGAGAGTATGACAGAAACAAAATATTCAATGACAAATACTACTTTTTGTTTTCCTGGATGGAAAAAAGTAACCCTGAATAGCTGTGTCTGAAGATTATCTGTAACTTTTTAGTATGTTGTGTGCATATGCATGAATGTGACTTAACTTCTCTTTCTTCAGTAATTCCAGCCTTTTCTCCCCTTCTCTTTAAAAGGATGGTTGCCCTCCTTGTCCTAGTGAAATCCTCTATGTCCAGTTAAATGTAACTTCCTCTGGGAATTCTGACATTACCTATGGGCGCTCCCTCCCCACCCCAAAACCAAGTAGAAATAGTTTATCTTTCTCCTGTGTGTCACAACATCTTGTGTATATCATTAGGCTCCTTAGCAATTAAGGTCTCTACCTTCTACATACTCCTGAGACATAGCACAATGTCTGGAATATGGTGGTCATTTCCTGTATGAATTTTGACTGAAGGCAGTAGATAATTGAGCCCGTCTTCCCCTTATTTCCTATCGATCTTAAAGTTTGCAGTGTGTGACAATGTGGTGCTATTTTAAGGGTTGGGGAAGTTGGTCAGAACTGGGGATGGTGTTGGAGGAAAGACAACCATTTCGCTTCCCCTTTTCATCTTCCTTGTGTTGTTATTACGTTTACTTAGATCACAGAAATTTCCATTCCAATCTTTAGAAAAATATTCTGTCAGCATTGAGTTAGAAAAGGATGAATTTGGAATAATTCTTAAACATCACACAGAGCACTGTGCAACAGCCTATGTCTACTTTCTCCAGCAAAATCTTGAGGCTTTTTAAAAAAAGGCATTGTCTTTATCTTTCCATGGTGACTTATGAGGCATGTTTAGGAAAATTTTATTTTAAAGGTCAGAGATTCCAATAGAGCCAGCCAAAATTTTGTGAAGTTTATAGAGTGATTAATTCCTGGAGTCCTTCATTTTCCAGCCCTTTAATTTGTGCAATCACATTGAATGTTCAAAGTATATACTGCTTTTTAAAGTCTTTCAAATACTCTGCCGAGTCACAACTGGCAATTCATAAATAGAGCTGATTAACATTCCCCACCACAAAGATCCTTGAAGGAAACTAAAAACAAAAACAGCATCTTTGTTGAATCCAATTTGCTTACATTTCAACACACATAACTCCACTTAACTGGCCATCACAGCAAAAGCCACAACACACACACACACACACAGAGCAGCATGGAGCTAACCACACAACTCAACAGACAATGCAGACAAACTTGAGTATAAACCAAGATTTTTCTACCTCTTTTCATAACAGGTTAGTGCTGGCCCTCAGTGTTGGTGTACAGTTTTTATGGCATGGGAAAATAGGGATGTTTCTGCCCTATAAAAATAAATGTGTTGAAGGCTTTAGTTTGAGCTCACACAACGTCAGAAAGTTCCAAAGGCACTGGCACAATAAAAAAAAAAAAAAAAAAAAAAAGAATCCCACAAACAAATATATCACCAAAATATCACCAAAACACATGGCAAGATACTAAGAAAACAGTGGTAGGAAAACTACTGGTTTCCTGGATGATTTATGCAACAGTTTTCAACACCTTCCTGAAAAATAAAGCATAAGAGAGGCATGCTGGTGGGTCTTTGGTGGGGCATATCTTGTCACCGACCACCATTCATACCAAGTCTTTGGCTTTAAACTGCTCATTAGGTCATTTTCTCCCTGCAGAAGTAGAAAGCACAGAACCCTTATTGTTCTTTATCTTTTAAGCTTTAGGAAGGGCTAAGAGAAAGAGCATGTAGAAACGCATGCACTATCTTTAAGAATGAAAGGGATACATGGAATAAAAATAAAAATACAAAAAATATCATTTCTTCATTTTATATGTCATAATATATACACTTCTTTCCAAACCTTAGTTTGATACGTGTGGTTTTTCATGGATGACATCTTTACTCTAGAAAGAGTTGGGACAGAAAGATAAGCAGAAAGCACAAAGTTCTGAATTTGAATAAAGACAATACTTTCGTTGTTACATCAAAGGATGCAAGGTGAGATATGGGGTTAGAAATTGGGAAACTTTCTGAATTGGACTTAATGATTTGTAATTCCTCAAAAAAACAAAACTTACCACATTCTGTGCAAATTTCTCAAAAGATGTTCTGCGATCCATTGAGTGTTCTGACTTACATGAGTGGGGTGGGATGGGGCAAAGGGAACTAGGGAACATAGATAAAAGGAAAGCAAAGAAAACAGAGCGGAGAAAGACAGGATGATGAAATGATGCAACAGCAAATCCATGTTCTAAATCAAGGGACCAGGAAGGTAGAAGAGCTGCCAAAGAATTTGGACGCTAGACACAGGGCACAGGCTCTGTTTTTATTAGTACTTTTATTTTTAACACCAAAACTCTTCCTGTGCAAACAAAATGGTATGGTTTCAAGCAAAATAAAATGACACTAAAATGAAGTAGATATGTGAAGGTTTTATGCTGACACGTGTAAATCCTACATATTTGAAAATCTCGCGGAATATATTCTGAATTTCCTCATAATGTTCTGTCAGGACTAGATTTCTATTGATTACATTGATTCTGTAGAGCACTTGTGCCCAACAGAACTTTCTGAAAAGACGTGAACTTCATTCTATGTTGTCCAATATTTCAGAAGCCTTAAGCTGTGGCCATTGAGCACTTGAACTCTGGCTAGAATTTTATGTACTTGTAACTAATTTAAATTTAAATGTAAACAACCCCATGTGGCTAGTGCAGCTGCACTGGGCACTTGCAAAGACAGTGTGTCTGCAAAGACGAGGTATCTCCAAAGACAGGGTATCTGCTTCCTGCAAAGACAGGGTATCTGCAGAGGCCATGGACTTTGAAAACTCCCGTTAGCCTAGATGACAGTCATGAATCACACAAAATTACAATTTAATCTCAAAATTTCAAGAAGTTATGGACTATTTTAACATTAAAAAATAATGAATAGTGTTGATTTTTATATTCCGATTTTCCATACTCTGCTTTATTAGTTTACACTGATTATAAACATTAATTGAATAATGAGGTCTATTGCAGCTCTTCCAAAATGTGTTTGGCTACCTTCTTAGGTGTATAAAATTTATCCTAGGGGTACTAAGTAATCCAGGATAAATATCAAATTAAAATATTCTGAAGCAAACATTACTACATTTTGACAACTCTCATTGAAAAATATGAGTCTATATTTAATTATGGGGTATGTGGCCAAAAACACACTTGAGCTTACTGGAAAGAGAAAACCCCCTTCAAGTTTTTGAACTAATGATGTTCTTTCCTTTTCACTATTATAATTTTTATATCCTTAAACTAGACATACAGAAGACTAACATGAAACACGAAAACAGCTTCTAAAAAACGTTGTAAAGCATGAACATCTGCAGAAACAAACAAAACGAAAAAGAAAATAAGCAATCAACAAACAAAAACACCTTAAATGGCCCTTATAAAATGCAAAGGTTTGGGGAAGGTCTTAGAGTTTGTTCACTTACCATTTGTCCAATACCCTGGGCTCAGCAGAAGGAACTACTCCATATAATTACAACTGAGAACCAGATCGAAAAAGGTCACAAAGAACCAATACCTTTTTCTTTGCCTGTAGAAGCTCTTGATAGGCACTGGATCTTATAAAACGTGGGTATGAATCACTTTTCATCAATTTGTAAATGTGCTCCTAAAAAGAAATAATGGTTGAAGTGCTTCTTTATTATTTCTCAGGGAAAATCAAATACTGTGATAAGAATACAGGATATGGTCCAAAAACAAATCTGGAAGCAGCTAAAATTAATAATGATAAGGTTGATGAGGATACTTTGTGTTTACAGAACATCTAAATCTTCAAATTCATTATTTTATTCATGGGTCAATATTTGAACTGGTTTGAGAGCTACAGAGGAGGCAAATCACATCCAGTCCTTTAAAAAAATGGAATTCAGTTAATGGAATGTCATGAAGTGATTTCAAATCAAGCAGTTGATTTATATAGGTCATTTGAGAATATAAATCTGCTATCTCTTAAAATTATTCCAGGCCAAAAGTGAATGATATGAAGTCAAGATCAAGTAATCATCCTAGATACCTTTGGCATCTACATATACTTGGAGGATGCAGACTGCCCAGATGAATCATCTCTTCGGTGCAAATTATATGGAAAATTGTCATCCACATCCACTCTGGGCCAGAGCACAAGTCCAAAAATAAGTTTTGTGATATATAATTGCTAAATCTCCCAATTTGTATGCTTTTTAAAAAAACTCCTTTAGTGACAGATTTGGCAAATATTTAATAATTTAATCCTAATCAGTCTGCTGCATTTTATCTTGATAATGAATATTGGTAGGCAAAGAAGTCAAGGAAAAAAAATGTATTCATCCAATTCACTGCTGGCCCAATCTAGGGTGATTCTGCTCTGGCCCACTGCAGCTCAATGGAGCATAAATACTCCATCCTTTTAATCTAGTGAAATACCAGTTAGATACAGAGAGTATCCTCGATGTCCCAATCTCTTTTTGTTTGCAGAGAATATATATTTTAAGAAATTATTCTGTTTCCCTGGTCTCAAATACACCTGCAATAATTGGAGTTACTCTTGTTCAATATCTAGCCCAAGGCTCATCTCCAAGAGTATGGTACATTAGGGACCCTATCAGAATATGTTGTTGGAAAAGTGGGGTGATGTCTTACTTTGGAGTCAAGCATTTTGGGATTCAGATCTTATTGTGCTCAAGACCTACCACCTACAAACATATAAATTTAGGCTGATTTATCCATCTTTCTGAGTCTTGGTGTTCTAATCTGTAAAATAAGGTTGTTGTGAGGATTAAAGGGATGATATATGTTTAGCAAAGAAGGGGGGTATGCATAGTAAGTGCTCAGATCTACTTGAATATATGCCAGGCACACATCCAGTGCTTGCCTATATTAATTTAATCCTCACAAAACCTCAATGAGGTTGGGAACCATTATTATACCCATTATTATATCCATATGTGTCTTTTCTTAAATAATGCTAGGAATTCCTGTTACTATATTTTTGAAGATGAGGTTAAAACCCCAGCAAAAACTGGAGTTAAATATCTGAACTTAACTGAAAAAGAAGCCCAGGGTCAGGTGGTAATATTTTCCATAGAAAATTATGCCTTTTCATTTTATTGAAGACCTATTAAGCAAGAATATTTTTAATGCCACAGATAACAAAGAAATGTTCCTTTTAAGACCTTAGGGAGGTTATTCCAAACATTTTACACATTGTTGGCTCTAGAAAAATGCTTGAGGGGCGCCTGGGTGGCTCAGTTGGTTAAGCGACTGCCTTCGGCTCAGGTCATGATCCTGGAGTCCCGGGATCGAGTCCCGCATCGGGCTCTCTGCTCGGCAGGGAGCCTGCTTCTCCCTCTGACCCTCCCCCTCTCATGTGCTCTCTGTCTCTCTCATTCTCTCTGTCTCAAATAAATAAATAAAATCTTTAAAAAAAAAAAAAAGAAAAATGCTTGAAATTTTATCTTGAACTGAAAGAAAGATAAATCAGCGAGAAGTAAGCAACAAGGCTAGAATTTCCATTCTGCTCTCTCTCATGTGTCTCTGTAATTATTTCCACATAGAAGACCATGGCAGAGACAGAGAGAATGGGTATCTGGTTAGCTGTTTCAACCTGTGTTAGTTTTCTATACCATGGCTTGTTTCTTTAAACCAAAGCCAGGAGAAATGTACTTTCCACTGAAAATGCAAATAAGGAAGGGCGTGTGTGTGTGTCTTATTCTTCATCTTCTATATTTTATTTAGTAATGTGGTTATCTGAAAAACAAGATACTTTCTAGAACTAATATTCTTCTCTAGAAGAGGTTTGAAAAATTAAGAAGTATGCATGTTCCGACTTAAAAGCCAATTTTAACACATCATCAGAAAAACAATATCCTCTCATCTCAAGTTAATTTTTCTTCTTGAGCACAATTTTTTTAGAGAAAGTAGAAATTCAGATTGTGTCTAAGGAGGCAATTATGTCCAGTTTGAAAAAAACACTAAGAAAATTAATATCTTAACATAAATTTGTCTTAGGAAATTAGTATCTTAATATAAATTTCTTTTTTTTCTCTTCACAGATTAAAAAGTTAACTTGGAAAATTCATACATGCCTAAATCTATTATTTCATTGTATCATCAAAGAACTGGCTTGAGTGTGATCTAACTTTAAGCTACTTCAGTTTAGTTCTGACTAGTCACAATAATGAATAATTTAGGAGTGTCAGAATCTTAGAATCTCCACATTGGAAGACACCTTAAGATTTCAAATATGTGCTACTGAGGTGGGGTCATTAGATAAGTGTTTTCTCATATACTGGGTGACAAAGTAAAAATGAAGTAAAAGTGTTCAAATATTTCAACCATTCCCCTTCAAAAAATTTTCACATAAAAACTTTCAAATTTAGAAGACATTCCCAGATTCTAGAAACTGTTCATTTTAATGTGTCTCTGTTTTCTTTTAAGTCAGTTGGAGTTATTTTACGTACGGTTACCTAAATTGAAAATATTAAGCCTAGCTGCCAATTAAATGAAAATAAAGCAAAACTATCTCAAATGCCAACTTCCCGGGAACACATTTGTGAGCTCCCATACTGTGAGGTCCACCCACATACCAACCTGAGCATCTTCGAATGTGTATCGTCCAGGCTCCTTCACATTCTGTGTGGTTTTGTCATAGCTCTTAGAATCCAAGTTAATGGCACTGGGGGCTCCTGGAGCCAGAAATTCTTGCCATATTTCCTGAACTCGGGAAGGGACTTCTCTAATAGGCCTTTTCTTCAGGTCCTCCACTGCTAGCCAGAATCTATGCAAAATGAGACACGCAGCAATAACTGTGATACCTCATAGTCTGTGAATTCTTACAATATTGACTGACCATACCATTCACGACAATACATAATAATGAGCTCCTTTTTTTCTGAGGGCTTCCAATATATGGCCTTTTTTTTTTATTAGTTATATTCAAAGATATCAAAGTTTTCAAAAGGAAATATTGGAAAACAATCTCTTTTAAGTGTTTGTTGTTGAAAGCAGATCTCCCAGAGCCCTGATTCTTTACACTTTAATTTTTAGTAGAGCAAAATAGCACTGCTAAAGAACCATTTATTAGAAAGGAAGAGGAGTTTGAAGGGAATTACAGTGAGTGACATAGAGCATCTGCTTGGGGGATAAAGTAGGGCATTATACTGTATGCTTTGGATCTTTTGTCCATTTGAGCAATGAGGGTTAGTACGGAGAGGATTTTCTGCTCTACCTGGCAAGGGAATTACAGTGAAGCTTTACTGGAATTAAAAGAGGACTGGACACAAGATCAGAAAAGGCCCCTAGATGGAGAAATTGGGGCAAGTAACTAATTTTAGTCTATTTAATTCAGAGAGTTATGGAATGACAGAAGCAACAAGCTTTCACATGCCATTGTTTTAAAGGTTTAAATTTGCAGAGGCATTATAGCAATTCAGAAGCTCTGAAAAAACAAATATATACTGACTTACTTCTGAATATATAAATATATTTTATATACTTCTACAAAGAGTATTTATACTGTAAGGAAAGAACACCAGAACATATTTTGGTTGATAAGAGCAAATAGCAAAGTCATTTCTTTAAATTTTGCTCTATGTTATATGTTTTGGTTAGAACTAGAAATAATGTTGAAAAGATGAATATGTATATCATTATAATTTAAAATGAAAAAAATACATGAAAAAGGAACTACTAGGTCTATGTTATCCACAACATGGACCATTATGTCTCTAATGGCAGATGTAGTCATGCATGAAATGGGCAAATGGCCACAAGGACGAAGTTCACTATAGGCTATAGAGTCTTAAGAGGTATATGACAAGCAGAACCTTCAAAATTACTAAGTTTTAACTTGGGCATTAATGAAAGGTCAGAAATAAGCAATAAAAGAGTTGAACTGGAGTTAGAATAGCAAATACTACTCAATCTAGTGAGTTTCCAGTTCCTAGAGATCATTTTCCTGTACATATATGTAACAGTAGATTTACTGTTGTTTACTACATATATGTAACAGTAGATTTAGACAATGCCTTACAGATGAAACTACCATTACTGCTTTCAGAAGGGAAGGCTCAAGACTATTTCCTCCAAAAACAAGAGATTTGGACACTGTGCAATTTTGTTTCTTAAAAAGATTTTATTTATTTATTTGACAGAGAGAGACACAGTGAGAGAGGAACAGAAGCAGGGGGAGTGGGAGAGGGAGAAGCTGACTCCCAGCAGAGCAGGGAGCCCGACGTGGGGCTTGATCCCAGGACCCTGGGATCATGACCTGAGCCGAAGGCAGATGCTTAATGACTGAGACACCCAGGCGCCCCTGGACACTGTGCAATTTAGGAATGCCATGTGCCATCTGAGGGAGCATAAATGTTGTAATCAATGCTCATTCAAGTTCATTCCAGCATGCTTTTAACACCTTAATCAAAAGAATTTTTCTGTCCTCAAAGAACTACTAGAGAAAAAGATGCACCATTCAAATGGCTGCCTAATATTAGGAAGCCCAGGAGGGGCTCTTGAGGAATAGCGCAAATGACACAGTGTGGGAGTGCAGAGCAAGAAAGAGCCTTCTGCTGGGCAAGCACTGGGCTGGAAAAGGGAGTTCTAGGAAAGCTGTTATAGATGCAGTGATATCTTAATGAACTTGAAAGTACAGACAAATTAATAAAGGGTTGAGGAGGTATTAATAACAACATCTACTCTAATATATAAGTGCAGGCACTGTTCTAAATGGTTTAGCTCTATTAACTCATGTAGTCCCTACAACTCTAGAGTATGTGCTATTATTTTCTCCATTTTCAAGAAAAGGCAACTGAGGATATGGAGATTAAGTAACTTATTTAAGGTTGCCCACTATGAGTGTCATAAGTTGGGTGAGTTTCATAGCTAGGGTTGCCCCTGGATAATTTGCAGAAGATGACATGCTTCATCTGACCACTCAGATGGCATTTGACCACTCCCTCAAATGTCTCCCTAAGAGCATCATTGCCTTTCTTGTTCTTGACCTTACTGTAGGTGCTATAATAAGTTAGTAGAATGGAAAGGATTCTGGTAAAATCCCACCCCCCCTTAATATACAGTAGGTGGAATACGAATAAGTGTTTTAATGCCTTTGAGTCTTAAGTTCTTCATCAGTAAAATGGGATGATACTGTCTATCTCCATAGGTTTCCATTAGATTAAATAAGATAAATAATGTAAAAGGCACTTTTGAGTGCCTGACATATTTTTAGACACTCAACAACAAAACTCATGTTACTATGTTTACTTAGTACTTATGCTATGCTACGTGCTTTACCTGAAAAAGGAATGAGCAAAAACACACCAGTGAATAGCAGAGGTTATATTTGAAAAAGAAGTAGTCATCAATAAGCAGTATTTCTTGACTTTTTTCTGTGTTAATACTTGAAGAAAATGCTCACATGAGTGTCTCAGTGTGTAAAGAGCAGGTGCTTACAGGCAGCTGCTTGATAAGATGCACTGAGACTTATTTAAGCTCAATTAGCCCTACCAGCAAACTGGACTGTTCTGTTTCCCTTAATCTATTACACCAGATACCTAAGTGGAAGAAATGGGGCTCAGATTTGGGGAGCAATGGAATGTAGCCTGTATTGGTTTATAGAAAGCCGTGAATGCCAATTACTAGCCAATCTGACTTGGACAAGATGATTACCTTCCCCCAGACATATTTTGCTTATCTGAAAATGGGGCAAGAATGTTTGCACTTCATTTTTGTTGTGATGATTAGGTGTGTGATAATCAGAAATAGTAAACACAAAATATAGCATGGCATACTTACAGCAGTAGTGGATATAACTATAATATAATGTACATATAAAATATGTCATATTTTTTATACGAAATGACTTAGCTCGAAAACTAGCATGGCATAGAATTATTGAGGTTAAGAAATGGTTAAGGTTTGAACCAAGGAATCAGCAGTCATTCAATTCATCCTTGAAACAGAGTTTGCACATACTCTTTCCTTTTCCCAAAGCTTCTTTCCTCTTCCTTTTAGTGGATGGGGAGGTGGAATTTTGGCCTGGTTATCTCTTGACATCCAGGTCACAGCCTAAAGCCATTTCCCCTGTGATGCCTGGCTGACCTCCAGCTCTGGGTTAACTATCTGTCTATACTTCTCCGATCTAAATAACCACCATTTTGTGCTGTGATCTCTTTTCTTCTCTGTATCCACCACTAGAATCATTTTTATTTGGTTAGGTGACCCTGGTGAGGCTTATTACTTGTTTATTTCTTCATCATGATACCAAGGATGTCAGCACTTATTTAAAAACTTAGAGAATTAGAGGAAATTCTACCTCCCCATCCTCTAAAAGGCTAAAAAATATTCTTTATCTCTGCTCTATTTTTTAATGCATTCTTATACTCAATAATTGATGATGTGGCCTCAATGTAAAAAAGAATCCTTAGCAACTGTAGATCTTGTAATAACCCTGTCAAAAAGGGTTTCCATAAACTTGAAAGAATAGGAAGCTACATCCCAACAATTCATGACAAGCACACATATATAATAACATTCCTCCAGGTTCCATCTGTGGTTATCTTGCTTAAACCATAGGACATCTGTCAAAGTTCTACATTATTTCTGAATGGTTTGGTATTGGTATCTGTTAAATCATCTGAAAAGAATGTGACAATGCCTGGAGCTGTATGTAGTGTTCCAATGAAAATAAATGAATGCTGAGACCTTTCTGTAAATGAATTTCACAGGACTGCATAAGTCATGGGAAAGTAAATTAGGGTATCATGTTTCAAAAGAATAATGAATGAAAGAGTTCATGGAAAAACATTTTTATGTAGTGGAAAGTTATCACTCACTTCAATGATCTTAAACAGAGTCACTAAAATCTATTGCAGTGTCTCACATTTAAAAATTCAATTTCCAGGTGCCTCTTAAGTTAGAAAAATTTCAAAAATATGTAAGGATGATGTTCACAACAGATGGGTGGAATGCACACCCCTTTTCTACTAACAGCTCAGTGTGGTATGGATCTCAACTGCCCTGAGGCTGCATTTAAATGTGCAAAGTGAATGAGCTGCCCCATAGTTTTGTTTCAAGTTATTTTTCATAGGCACCCAAATCTCTTTTCCTAGACCTTACTTAGGAAGCAATATGCAAAGAAGACTAATATTGATAAATAATAATTTAACTGCATAAATATTATTGGCCATTCCTCATTTGCCAAACATTAGTCCAAGTATTACACTTCTTTACGGAGTCCATTTCAAATGCATCAAATTTATATACTTAAAAGATCAAGAGATAGTGTAAAAATAACATTATAAGGGATTGATAATCCTGGACAGGCTTTGCCTTTTTTTTAGCTTTTTTCCCTCCATCAAGAGGCAGAAAATCAATGGGTTCCTATCATCATCATGTTGGTTGGAGAGTAACTGATCTATTTAGTGCAAAACAACCAGACATATTACAGTAAGTCTCTCTGACATAGAATAAGATACAAACAGTGTGTCTTACCTTAAATTTTCTGAGCTGAATTCTGACTCTAGAAATTTAAGGAACTGTTCTCTCCCAACTGGGTCTTTCAGTGCTTCATCCATGCCAAAACCCCATCGTTTTACCCTCTGCTGGCTTGGTTCTTTGCTTTAGGAGATAAAACAAAGCCAAATATATTCCTTTCATTACCAATTCTATCTTCTATGATTACATTTCCCTTCAGAATCATATATACTGGGGAAGTTCCCGTCTTTAACATATCTTTCAGAAAAAAATATCTGTGACTGATGGTTTTGCATGAAATTATATTGAGGCATATGTTAGGCATTAACAGTGGTGTCTAATGTTTATTGAGCATTAGGTGCTTAGTGCTCTAGATGGATTCTCTCTTTTAGATATTTTCCTGCAACTTTATGAGACAGGTACTGTTATGTTCTCACTATATAGATGAAGAAATCAAGGCACAAAGAGAGTTATAACTTGCCAATGTCTGAGAGATAATAAGGGGCAATATTCTAGACATTTTGACCTCAAAGCTCATTTCTTAGCCACTATACAATGCAGTCTTGAGGTGGTATGTTGTACTGGGGGAAAATGCATTGGGAACCAAAAGACCTCAATTCTGGTTATGAGTCTGCTGTTGATGAAATGTGTGACCTAATCCTAGCTGAGTCACAACATTCTGGGGCCCAAATTCCTCATCTATAAAATCTAGAACTTATGGATGAAGAATTTGCACTTGTCAAACATTTAAGAACACTGGATGGGGGTAAAGGAAAGAAAAGGTCCATAAACACAGTTTAGTGAAGTGCCACTAAGTACAAAATCCTCACTCTGTAAAGTAAGAGGCGCTGCTCTTTTCATGACTGTCAAGATCAGTGATCTAAGTCTTCCCTTCTCAGGAAGGAAACCAGGAAGTCTTAAATTGTGCTTTGGTTTTCTTAAGAAGTCAGTTCTCTTGTCAGATTCTCTTAGAGTGTTTAAGGGAAGTTCATTTTGTTTTAAAATTGAATTTATAAAGGCATACTTGTATTGGGCTTAAATAAGTATGGATTTAGCATTCATTTTGCTTGAATACAGCAAAATGAATGCGGCCCTGTGGATTTTCAAAGAAGCTAAAGCAATGCACTAAATTTCAAGAACTGAAGATCTCAACTCTGAATAGTCTATTCTGAAACTCTGTCCCTCTAATTTTGTGCCAGTCCTCCGGAAATGCAGATCTGAACACAAATGCAAGTATCTAAGGTTCAAAAACCATTACCTTGAATGAGAACTTTGTATCATGAGCTAATAGAGACACAGAGTAAAACTGACCTTACAATTATCAGCTATAGAATTCTTCCTATTTCAACTAAACCCTGAAATAAGTGAAATACTTGAAGAGAAAATGTCATATACCTTGCTTCGAGTTCCCAGAAAGTAGTATCATCAGACAGCCATGGGTTAGAAGGGTCAGGTGGCACAAGAAACGGGTCATATTCTAAATATTGTTCCGTGTAACTTAACAGACTAGAGAGAAAAAACATTTTCATTTTCCTTAGTTTTTCTTGCTGAGGTTATACCCAGCCCAAAGTAAGGAATACAATATAAAAAGGTCTGGCCAAGGAATTGCTTGCTTATAGAGAAAATCTAATGGCAGTTTTTATGTTTCAGTAACTTACACGCATCAACTTGTGCATCCTGGAAGGTAAAGTGGCTAAGGAGTCCATGTCTACCCATGCCCAATCCTAGTGAGGCAACACCCTTCCATTCAAATGAAGCAAAATGGAAGGCGTCAGTGTGTAAAAAGCAGTGCTAAAAGTCAGTCTTTAGTCAACCAGTCCACCCACAGCTGAATTGATTTTAGCCAACTTGGAGAACGGGTTAAAAGGGAATTTCTGTCAAAAGTATTTACAGGAGTTAGGTAAAGGGCAAAGCATTAACATTTCTTAAAAAAATCTGTATTCAAAAAAAGAAAGAAAAGAAAAAGATGGAGAGGAGAGGAAAGAAGTTGGAGAGGTAGGATTTGACAATGCTCCAAAGTAAAGAACACACGTGCCATTAATAACAGATTTAAATGAAGAAATGAAAATATCTAAAATCTGTGTTTAATTCAAATTCTGAAGTCACGCAGTAACTGAAAAGTGTGAATGTTAAGATGAATTTACAGAGAGGCCCTAAGTTGCCAAAAAGTAACTTGATAAATTGAAAGCTTCATTTCTCTCAGCAGGAGTGAAAAATTCAACTCCTTGGAATTGTCTTCTATATCTGATTCTGGTTGCACAGGATTGGATCTCTACAGATTGAAGATAGTAATGATCATTCTGTCATTTAAACTATAACAGAAGAGTTCTTTGGAAGTTTTCTATGTGCAAAATGCAAAAACAAAATAACATTTCTTACAGGATTCCATTTTTAGTGCATTTGACTGTCACATGAATTTTTTTTATTTATAGGGGCATCTTGAAATACTTACCTATCAGCAACTTTTGACATTTTTAACCGATGTCTATCTAACTGTATTTGCCAATATTTAATCTGAAAAGAGTTAAAGAAGTAGTTAAATAAGTAGTGACATTCTCATAATTTTCAACTCTAAATTCTGATAGACTGGGCAATTCTAAATAAGAATATGTTCTAAGTAAAATTTCAAAAGTCTGAAAAATCAAATGAGACGGCTCTGAAAATTAAAGTGTTTGAATATAAACATAGCCAATATCACTTTAGAACAGCAATGAATTTGAACATTCTGCATACTTTAACAAAATGTAACTTTATTTTTAAAATGTTCTAGAGATTGTAAACATTTATTCATAGTGAATAACCAAATCAGAATCACCCCCCAATATTAAATTCAGAAAATAAACGTATGTGTTATTTGTACTATAATTTCAAAGTAAATCCTACTTCCTAGTACTAGCCCAAGAAAGCATCAATGATACGTGTTTTGGGAATAATTTTATCAACGTTTCAGGACAAACACATGGACCTAATAATATATGGAAAACTTTAAAACTCTCTAAATTACTTTCCATTCACTGTGATTATAAATATACTAGAAAAAGTATTATTACACTATTGATAAACCATATCACAATAACATATTAGGGGAAAAGAATAAAAAGGGGAAAAAGCCCCATGACCAAGCTAATCAAGAGATTTCACTATTATTTGATATAAGAGACACCGGTGTTTGCTTTGAACTATTGCTTGGAGGCAAAACTATTGATCAATTAGTGAAACAAGACATGACGTATACCATAACTGTACACCAGTGTTAATGAGCGAGAACTTCGAGAGGCTTATGGAGAGCAGTACCAGGAGAATAAGAAAAAGCACTCTGTGAAGATCATGTCACAAGACTGGATACATAAAACACGTGACTCAACGTCACCAGCTTCTTGTCTTCTCCTTCTTCAAGAAGAGCTCCAGAGTACGGAATAACTCTTGAAATGGAGGCACCTAAACAGCAGTGTACATCCTTTTTAAAAATTGGTTAGAGGATACAGGATTTGGGGAATTAAAGAGTGAAGAGATTTGGAAACCATCTGCATATAGTGATATATTTCCAGGTGACTACATATCTTAAAATTAAATGATTTCACTACCTTTTAACTGCAACTCTTCTCTATGAAACAGTCAACCATACAAATAACCTTCTAAAAAACCCTCCCATTAACATTCACATGTAGTCTTCATAGCTACTATTCTGTAAACCGTCAGCAGGTCATGTTATAGACTGACCCACCTGTTGTTGTAACTCATCTTCTGTTGGAGGTTTCGTTTCTGGTGTGGGTGTGTGGGTAGGACTGTGACTTCTAATGTCATTTTGTAAACCATAGACAGACTATATTAAAGTAAAAGAGAAATATATTAGGACAAAATACCATTTATAGTCACAGACTTTCTAAAAGGTAATTTTGTGTTATATATTCAGCAAGGTAACTCAAAGTTTTGCTGCATATTTGATGAAGCTTCTTATTAAAATTCGGAGGCACTGCTATCATAAATATCATATGAATATAAAATAAAAGCACAGCTCTTTGAAAAAATATGTGGTTAGATTATTAACTTTGACAGAATAATTGATTATATGGAAAGAACATGGTAAGTCTGATAATAAAATCTGGGGGTGGACTGAGAGTACTAAGTTGGGGAACAACAACACTATATAACATTTAATAAGTGTTGATTTCAGAATAAAACAGGGGTGGATATAGAATAGAATAAAAATTTAATAAGCCAAAAGAAAATGAAAATAATTTGAGTTTTACAGAATGGAATACTGAGGAGAGAGACGAGGTTAACAATTCTATTATTGATTTAGTCTCGGCTAGTGTGATCAAAGACACCCCAGAGTGCTCCAACTTTCCCATCTCAGCATTTGGTTGTTTACCTCACCGTACTGGCCTTGCCATTCAGTGGCCATTGGGTGCCTTTTGCAAACATCAGTGATCCCAAAGTTTTCACTTGGGAATTCTTGATGCCCCAGTGCTTCTTTTGTATTTTGTCAAAAGGTCAAACCTACTACTTAGGAATATTCTTTTTTGAGAAAGACCTATTATTGGGGGGCTGGTTGGCTCAGTCTGGTAAGTGTCTGCCTTCAGCTCAGGTCATAATCCCAGGTCCTGGAATTGAGCTCCGAGCCCCGAGTTAGACTCCCGGCTCAGCAGCAAGTCTGCTTCTCCCTCTGCCCCTCCCTCTGCTCATTCTCTCCTTCTTTCTCCCTCTCTCTCTCTCAAATAAATAAAATCTTAAAAAAGAAAAGACCTATTGCTTAGTAAGTACAAATGAAGATCTGGAGACCTTAAAAAGACAAAAAAATCTTCAACTGAGGGTGAGACATCTCACATGTCAACCCAAGGGAGAAGCCAAATAACTTTTTCTTTAATATCAAAGAATTATTATTTTAAAATAAAGGATTTAATATGAGATATGGAGCACTGTTTCTTTGGACATGAGGATGAAAGGTAAGGACATAATAAAACTTCATGAGCCCACAGAATTAAAGTTACCAGATAGTTTTGGAAGAAACTCTTAAAATCAGAAGAGGGTAGGATCCAGATGCTTAACTGAGCCAATTTTCAGGCTCATCACTAACCTCACCAGTATCTCTAAATTCAAATGTGTTTTATTCTGAACCCGTTTTCACTCAGACTCTATCTTTTCTTAATGTTCACCTGTTGGTTTTATACCTGGACCCTCTGGATGGACTTGGATTTTCCCTTGTAATTTCCCATTACTCTGCTCTTAGGCTTTCTTCAGTAGATTTTGACTTGGCTTTAACTTACCTGAATCATCCATTTTAGACTATCTTTGTTAAGTCTTTCAATCTGCCCTCTCTTGACCTCACCTCAACTTCTGGGAACTCAGGTTCTATCACCAGGCAACAATTTCAACCTAACGAGCAGCACATATGCTGTGAATTAATTATTAATAGGACAGAACCGAATGGCTTAAATTTTCTCTGTTCTTTCTTTCATTTAATCATTCAACATCTACTGAACACCTACTATATGCTGGATATAATGCTGAGCATTAGGGATATAGAAGTAAACAAAGATAGATACATTTTCTCTTCCACTGGAACTCACAACTTAGTGGAGGGAAGCATGTTACACAAATAATCACACAAATAAACACATGATTAAAACTGTGATAAGTGTTATGAAAGAAGATAATAACAGGAGCATAGGGCCTGAAGTACAAGGAGACTTAATTTGCACCAAAGAAACAGAAAAGGCCTATGTGAACTACTAACAGTCATATCTGAACTTTGAACTCTGAAGTAACTGGTGAGGTTGATTTTTAAAAATTAGGCAAGTGAAAAATCACCAATTATTCAATAATCATAGACAATAAATGTAGACATTTTTCAATGTCTACAATTTTTCAGTTGTACTACATTAATTTATGATAAAGAAAATAAAAAGACTCTAAGGCTTGAACACTGCATTCTTGTTTACCTTAGTTTAATTACTTAAAGTCCTTAATAAGAATCTATACTCAAGTAAATAATGCTTATAAGGTAAGAAAGCTGTTTTTTTTTTTTTTTATGTTATGTTAATCACCATACATTACATCATTAGTTTTTGATGAAAGCTGACTGTTTTAACAGTTTTTTGGTTAAGATTAAAAATAATTAAAAAGAGGGGCGCCTGGGTGGCTCAGTTGGTTAAGCGACTGCCTTCGGCTCAGGTCATGATCCTGGAGTCCCGGGATCGAGTCCCACATCAGGGTCCCTGCTCACAGCAGGGAGTCTGTTTCTCCCTCTGACCCTCCTCCCTCTCATGCTCTCTGTCTCTCATTCTCTCTCTCGCAAATAAATAAAAAAATCTTAAAAAAAAAAAAATAATTAAAAAGACTGCTAGAAAAATACTGCATTTTATGGTGTCATGGAAGTACACTGATCTATAAACTATCTTCTGCCTCCGCATTTCTATGATTGTTTCCGTATGCATGCATAGCACATAGGCTCAGGAAGTTCCATTAAGAACCAAATCCCTGGGAGGTGGTGTTTAAAGCAGCCCTCCAGCAGCCTTGCTACCAGCTCTGGGCTCTGAGGTTACTATGGAGTTTCCGTTTCATGCAGGTAAACATCAGTTCTCTCTTTCATCAGTCAGAATGGCTTTCATTTTCTGGGGACCAGTGATTGCTTTTAACTTTGATTCTTGGCTACAGTGAAAATGGCCATGAATAATGAAGTTTTATGTACAGGGCTTATTTTAGGGACAAAGGAGGTAGGAAATTGATCCTATTTTGGCAGACAAGTTCTGAGGATCATTTGAAATGTAAAAGGTTTTCATTTTTATTTTTAGAAAAAGGAACTATATTAAAATATTGGCTAGAGTGGGTGGAGTAGAGCTAGCAACAGGTAGGGCTGGAGAGGAAGGGACATGAAATTGTCTCAATGGGGGGAAATAAAATTAACCAATTGGGATCCATTTTGAGTTGTTAGCAAAGCTAGTTACCAATCAAGATGCTTTGACTTGATGAATATACCCATTTATTTAAATCCAGGGTGCCTGAACAAGATTTTTTCACATAGGGTACCATCCAAATGAATACTGGGTAAGTTATTCATAAAATGAAACAGATCTGACTTTCTACATAAACCCGTTCATATGTGATTTCCCTTCACACCTTAGAAGAAGTCTAAGAAAATGCTCTCCTACTTTTATCTTTGGCAGGCGGTGGGGAGGGGGGGTGCTTTAAAACAGAAAGTAAAGAGTACAGGAAGCTTTTATGCCTTTCTATGTGGAGTGAAATCTCTGGGGTTTTTCCAACTGATGGTGGAGGGAGGGGATCTTTCTCTTTCTTCTGGATTGTTCAGCTCGACCAGACAATGGATTGGGACCACATCTGCTGGTGTGTGGAGGAAACCAGTGCACAAAGAGGGCAGAGAAAAGAGGCACAGGAGAGTGAGCGAGAACCCTGATGAGTCCCTGGGTCTGTCAACCCCTGGGGGCTAACTCTGCCCCGCCAACTCCCAAGGGTTTAGAATATTCCCTGCTTTTTGCTATTTTGAGCAGAATGTTTGTTGCCTGCCACTTGACTGTACTTCTTACTTAAAAGCCTTTTGTGTTACCCTAAGGTATGAGTAGTTTCTTCTGTTAAAATTAAAATTCCACATTATGCATATACAAGTGAGGAAATGCCAATTTTTTCTGTATAAACAGTTTTATGTATAAACAGCCACTGCATTAAAAGCAGGAAAACTAGACATTTAATCATGAATTTCCTAACTGTTCCTCTAGAATGTGCACATTAGCTATTACCTAAAATATGAAGTGTCTTAATGCCTAAATGAAGATGACAGAAAAAAGAAAAGTAACGAGACAAGAAACATCTTACTTTTGTTTTGAAATATGGGTCCTGAAGTTATAGGAAGCAGTTCAACATGTGGGGTTAGTCATGTACATACAAATGCTTTTTTCATTTTCCTCAGGTTTTGTGTTGTCCTAGGGCCCCTCTAGCTATTGTTATATAGAAGGATTCATCCTGTGATGGTTAATTTTATGTGTCAAGCTGGCTGGGCCACAGTGCTCAGATATTTGATCAAACATTATTCTGGATATTTCTTTGAGGATGTTTTTGAATGAGATTAAAATGTAAATCAGCAGACTTTGAATAAAGCCAATGGCCCTCCATAATGTGGGTGGGCCTCATTCAATCAGCTGAAAGCCTGGACAGAACACAAAGATTTCCTCCAAGCAAATGGGAATTCTTTCAGCAGATGGCATTTCTTCCCTGGGACTCTAGCCACTGGCCTACCTCGTCAGGTTTGGGGCTTGGCAAACCTCTACAGCTGCATGAGGCAATTTCTTAAAATAAATCTTTCTCTCTCGCTCTCCCTCGCTCTGTCTCCGTCTTTCTCTCCTGCACCCTTTGGGGAACCCTGACTGATACACAGCCTGACCTATTATAATTAAAGTTTTAGAAACAGGCTGAAGAAAATCAGGTACACAGTGGCCCTTAAAATTTGCCTAGATTAGGCTGGTTTCTTTCTGGCTATGCTACATTACGATTCCTTCATAGAAATGTAAGGAAATACATTCCACCTACTTCTTTGTATTTTAGTAAAGATAGATTTAGAAACTGACTGATCCTAAATACTTAAAAATATCTCCAATCAGATGTTCTTCTAAGCCTTCTCTTCATATGTTTGATAAACACTCCAATCCTTGATATTCTTTAGGTACATGTAATGGATTACTGCTTTAAGGATTTACTGGGTCCCTTATTCTTGTTATGATATATCATCATGAGAAATATTATTACAGCTGACTGCCAAAGAAATGAACAGCAGTTCTCTTTGCTAAGGGTAGCATCTGTTTGCAAAAATGAATTACAATCCAGGGGTTCCACTTTCTTACCAGCAGAAGTTTAAAACAGAGGGTGGTCACACCATTAAGACAATGAGCAAAGGACATAGTCGGATTAGCTGTGGAAGGCAAAGACAGTTTCTAAGGTGATAGGCTGGCCTCTGCCATTTCTGTCTAAGGCTTGCAATCCCACAGAATTACCCCCTCCACAAGGACAGAACTGTGAAAACTTCAGAGGGTGGTGGGACAGTTTGTTGTTCGCCATGTATTTTTTGTAATAAAATGGTGTGGTGATTTAGAATCCCAAATCATTCAAATTCCCTTGATAACATGTTATGGACTGAGTTGCATCCCTCTGAAATTCATGTTGGAATCCTAATCTCCAATGTGACTATATATGGAGATGGTGTCTATGAGGAGGTAATCAAGGTTAAAGGAAGTCATCGGGTAGGATCCTAATCCCATGGAACTGGTGTCCTTACAAGAGGGACAGACACCCGAGCTCTATCTCTGCCATGTGAGGACACAGCAAGAAGGCAGCTGTCTACAAGCCAGGAAGAGAGCTCTCACCAAAAACCCAACTTGATTTGGGACTTCTAGTCTCCAGAACTGTGCATAAATGAATTTCCATTATGTAAGCCACCCAGGTTGTGGCATTTTGTTATGGTTGCTTGAGCAGACTAATACATACCACTTAACACAATTACATGGTTATAGATGTATAGACATTTGTCTGCTTCTTCACTGTGTGCACTCTCATTAGACCATGAGCTGTTGGAACAAGGTCATGCCTGCCCCATTTACCATCGAATATCTAAAAAGCAGTACAGGGCGCCTGGGTGGCTCAGTTGGTTAAGCGACTGCCTTCGGCTCAGGTCATGATCCTGGAGTCCCGGGATCGAGTCCCACATCGGGCTCCCTGCTCGGCAGGGAGTCTGCTTCTCCCTCTGACCCTCCTCCCTCTCATGCTCTCTGTATCTCATTCTCTCTGTCTCACATAAATAAATAAAATCTTTAAAAAAAAAATTAAAAGCAGTACATACCTGGCACAAAGTAGAGACTTGCTAAATCTGACTGAATGGGTCATTCCAGTTACTAACCAAATATGAGCTAATGTAGCAGTGGTCATAATTCTATAAGACAAATCAGTATGTGACTTAGAGTCCTATAACTTTCTATGTAAAATAACATGATTTGTGAAGATTCTAGCAAATTCAACACTTCTGACTCTGAGACACTATATATATATATATATATATATATATATATATATATATATGATGTGTATATATATATATATATCAAAAAGTGAAAAAAAAATCAGCATTCTCCAATTGTTGAAGACAAAGGCATACATGCTACTTGCTGTAGCATTCTTCAGAATTTTTGTTTTTCTCTGGTAATTTCAGGCTATGGAGCTCTGCAGTTAGGCCCTGCAGTTCTACCATTATCGATTCACAGGAAATTAGACCACAACTGAGACAGTTAGAGCTCAGTGATTCCAGCTCTATAGCATTTCACCTTGCTAGGCCTGGTATTTTCCCATCATTAAGTGAGGGCTGATAGTATGTGAAGCACAGCATTACCAATTAATGCTTTTCAAGTTTTCAAAAAGCACAATGCCATATGTAGCGCTGGTAAGACATCAATACCATGTAGCATTAAGAACACAGTGTAAATGATGGCTTTCTTATCTTTAAGTCCTATCTGTCCATCCATATGCTTTCTCTTCTGAGTCAGAGCATATCTCAGTTGGTGTCTGTTGGGAAAGCTTGACACAAAGTAAGGTATTATGAAAAGTAATTCTTCAAAATTCAGAAGTAGTGATGGGTGGCTGAATGTGCTTTTTGGAGAGATGATTGCAGCTCTGAATGCTGTTCCACAGCACAAAACCAGTCCCCAGTGCCCTGAGGCTGTGCTGTGCGTAGAGGAGGGAAGGAACTGCGTGAGGCCAGTCACAGGAGAGCAGGGCCAACAAGCCTGGTTTGGTCTGGCTTTGCCTCTTTCTCTCAGAGAGCTCCTAGGGGCAAAAGCTCTGGAGCACTGCACCTGAGTGGGTTTTGTGGCACTTTTCCTATGACTTCTTTATCCTGACATCAAGGTAAACTGCCTTAAAAGAAAGAAAAGGTACTTGGATCATACTGGGGCCTCATGATGTTTATATTTCTAAGGATGGAAGAAAAAGACAACAAGAAATAAGACTACAAAAAAAAATGATTAGTGCCTATTGGAAAACCCTAATTCTACATAAGGAAAAAGCCATGAAAAGGAAGGTCTTGAGCTTTGTGGAATGCTTTAATCCAGTGGTGCCAACCTTGGTCTGTGTCCTCAGCTCAGAAATTCTTATGTGCATCAAGTGTTTTTCATGGAATGAATAAAAATGCTTTCTGTGTGTATGTGCTACTTTCAAAAATATGGAGGTACTATTGCTGTGTATTTTCAAGAGATTATTTAAAATGTCACTGAATTCTGGATAGCTTTTTGTTTGTTATGTGTTCTCTCACATAACAGACACCAAACAAACATACAACCACTATCTTATGGTTGTGTCACAAAATTCTGGTGTTAAAAGGGGATCCTCATACAAACTCTGTAGTTATATGTCTTTATGACGCCCCTTTTCCCTTCATAATTTTCTCTAAAAATGCCCTTCTCTCATCAATATCACTTTTTCTCAGATAATCTCCATCTGTGTTTCCTCATCCCATGGGCTCTGAAAGAGAAGCCTTTCTCTGCTGATGATCCTTCCTTTCGATGGAGAGAGGAGGTGCCCTCAGCATCCTTGCCCCCCATCACAGCCCCCTGCATGCCCTGGGACCTGTGTGTGCTGGAGAACCATGTCCTCAGGACAGATGGACTGACAGAAGACCAGGGTTTGAGCTGCCAGATTTTCTTCTAGCCAAGAACAAGGAAAAGCAAGGAAGTTGCTAGAAGATACTCCAGGAAGTGGGCAAAAGGTTTTTGACTGATGTCCTCCAAACAGTGCAACTCATACCAAGATCAGCACAGCAAACATGGATATTACCTTCCGTGTTTTGTGTGGGTTTCTCATTCTGGATGACTTCTTAATGTCCACTTCAGTGGTATTTACACAACCAGGCTGAAAATGGAAAACAGAGAGACAAAGGAATCTTTGAGGGTGAAGTTTTTGATCCATGCATTAATGACTTGCCTTCCAGGTCCCTGGCAACTCTTTCTAAATGGCCACAGCCACCCTCTCAGCAGAGCCAGTAAAAAAATATATTATACTCTCACTCCTTGCATAAGAACTTCAGATAACATTCTCAAGTAACTTCCAGAAAAATAGGGAAAAGAAATGCATGGGCCTTGCCTGTGAAAGTGGGTGTTATTGACATTGGTAGTTGCTAAGCCAACAGATTCAGAGCAAGGGTGTCCAAAGATCAAGTGGATCATAGCCCAGCTGGTACGTGCACACAGCCCTGCTCAAAGTGCCTCTCTATGTGAGGTGACATTGTTATTAAAGCTATTTACTTCCCAAGTTGGAAAATTACAATCTGTTGACCTAGCTCAAATCCCAGAATGAATTTTTTTTTACAGTGATTCATGAAATCGGGGTACTGGGAATATTTGCTTTCCATACACAGAATGGGAGTGTGGGTAGCCTGCTACTGGTTCTCTGACAACCTCAAGAGTATCATTTTGCCAGATTTATTGTCCTGTTGCACAGAAATAGAGAGCTGTAAAGCTTCCTTTGTATTTGGAGGAGGAGAGGGAAGGAGGAAGAAAAGAGAGAGAGGGTGGGGTGAGGAGAAGGGGAGGAGAAAGAGATGCAGAGGAGGGAGAGGGAGGAGAGAGGTGGTAGGAGAGATGATGAATCAGGAAAAAGAGAAGAAAGGAGATTCCAGAATACAGGAGACCTGATATCTGCAAAGATATCACTTAGTCTTTAGAAGTAATTGGAAGGAAGTGTTTATATGGATTGTGTTTCACCAACTTTCAAGTTTTGGTACCAGATATAGGGATCTCTGGTACTAGTCAGAAGTATTATGTTGTACAACTCCGCTCAGTTTCTCTGTTTTTTTTTTTTTTTTCCCACAGATTGCAAGATCATTAAAACATCAGATATACCTGAAAGCAACTCCAGAGAAACCGTGAATGTGGAAAAAGACTTTTGTGCAGTTGGGATGTTGTGGGAGGGGTAGGGGCAAAAAGGCAGCACTAGTGTGATTCCAGAAATAGGCTGTTCTCTACACTCACTGGCAGGCAAGGGGGTTCACTCTCTGTATAATGAGGACATGGGGCATTTTCTTAAACCACCCTGTCCTGACAGCATGGCCACTGGGGCAAAACTCCACCATAACAGTGTAAGGGATAAAGAAGCAAACAAAGCCTTTTTTCTTGATTTTTTCCCCTACATATGTTGCATGTGAAATATATATACCACAAACACATAAACACACACACACACACACTGCACTAAAATGTTAAATAAATCACAAATTTGGTTTGCATATCTATATGGAAATAGCTGGTTCAGCACCATGGTCTGCTTGGCAGTACAGCAGGAAGAGCACCCACCTGGATTTACTAACTGACACTGAGCAACTCACTTTAGCTACCCCAGCATCAGACTGATCAATATCTGATATTCTGATTTAATTTTTCTGTGGCTCATTGGCGCATGAGTATTTTTTAAAAGACCCCTAGTGATTTTGATATGCAGCCAGGATTCACAACCATTGATCTAGATGTAACAAAATAATGTTTTGAAAATATTAAAGCAATATTAAAGTGTCTTCATTTCCTATTAGATTTCCATTTCCTTGCAACCTTCCACATGTAAGCCTCAGTCCATTAGGAAGGCGAAGCACTGAAATTCTTTAAGCTCTTACTGATTCATCAAGAGCCAAGCATGGCAAGACAGATCATAGAGATCTTCTTCTACATGTTAAGAGGTAGGAATAATGAGGATATGATATAGAGGAAAAAGGGAAGGCATGTCCTTCCAGGAGCTGGAGAAAAAGAGATGATTTATTATTTATTCAGAACTATTTATTTCTGCATCTAATTGCCAGATCTTGTGACAAATGGTAAAATACAAGGATGAATTATAATCTTCTAATATAATAAGCATAATAAAATGTCAATCAGCACAATGTGGGAGCACAGGACTGGAGAGAAGTTGGCCTGGGCATTATGCAATGAACATTTCATACATCCATTATTATGCACATCCTCTTGTTTCTCACCAACATGGCAGATAAATATATATATTTTTAGTATTTGAGCAAATTTGATCCCAATAAGACCATGTGGTCTTTGGTTATTTTAAAAAGGCAGTCATAAAAAAAAATAATAAAAATAAAAAAAATAAATGAAAAGGCAGTTATCCTTTTAAGGCGTATATATATGCCATATATATATATATATATACCACTAGCTGGCACCAGGTCCATGTGAAATGTTATGCCTAAATTGGTTTTCTGCACTACTAAACACAGCTTCCCAATAAGATATAAATAACATTACCGTTACCAAGTAAGCACTCAACACAAATGTCCAAATATGTACTACTGGCCAGATATAATATTAAGTTCATAGTATTGTTCAATTTAAGGACTAATAATGAAGTAATATTTACATTGGCCTAGAAAAGAATCATAACTTACTTCTAGCGACTCAAAGGTGCATTTATTCAACAGAATTAAGCTGTGTTATGACATTACTGTAACACTATTTATTAAAAAGTAGAATTTAATGCCTTGGAATCCATTCCTGAAGTAGTAAAAGGATCATATTATTGAGCAATATTACTGTCATAGTGTTCAAGTAAGTGTCTTAATGAGTTGCAAAGCAGAGCTATTGTGGTTTCATCACTGATTTTACTTAAAAGAATCTGAATACCATTCAGTTCCCATCATGGCAAAATGCCATTATTAGTTGTAGCAGAAGGCACACTGTGCTCAGGATAACTAGGGAAACTTGAGGACTCTTCAGTGAAGAGCAGCATGAAGAGACAATAATGGAGAACTACTCTCTTTAATTCAGTCCCAGCAGCTGAAGTGAAACTGGGCAAAACAATGTCCTAAATGACAAATGGATGGAGATTTAAGAATGAGCTGGCAAACAGAACTGATAATAAGAGACATCCATATTCCTGGAAATTAGGAAAAAGATATGATTCTGGGAAAATTAAGGTTTTGAATATTGACTGTTGAAATATTTTGAATAATTATTGGTTCAAATGTGATTAAATTATTGGAAATATTTGTCATTTTGTAACACAGTACAAGTTTTAAAAGTTCAATTTGTCATGTATTGTACCTCAATCATGATTCCTTACTCTTATATAAAGTGATTACAGATTTCAGAGTGTTCTATCTCAGGATATATTTTTTTAAACATCTAATTGAAGATTTTATTTCTGTTCTTGGGTCAGCTGGGCTTACTAAATGCTATATGTGAAGGAAGTTGTTTAAGGTGACTACTCTGGAATTCCTTCTATTCAACCTCCTCTATAATATTTATTCATTTGATTACTACTCCATCTTATTTGCTGGACACAGTGTCTGGATTATGTGATCCGGCTTCAGTGTAGGCTGTGAACGAATTCTGAGAGTCCACAGACAGAAGGAAGGCTCTGGCAGCAGAGGGGAGGGAAATGTATGATGGCTTGGAGCTGTGGATAGTGGTCAGGTCAGGTAGAAATTGCAGCTCATGGTAAGGACTTTGGTTTAAGTCTAAAGGTAAGTGGAGGTCATAAGGGAAGTGATTTATATTTTTAAAAACTCACCTCTCACAAAAATTAACTCAAGACAGATCACAGACCTAAATGTGAAATGCTAAACTATAACCCCCCCCTAGAAGATAAGCATAGGAGAAAGTCTAGGTGACCCCGAGTTTGGTGATGACTTTTTATATACAACAACAAAAGCATACAGTCCTTGAGAGAAATCATTGGTAAGTTGGACTTCATTAAAATTAAAAACTTCTGCTCTATGAAAGATAAGCCAGACTGGGAAACAACATTTGCAAATGGTATATCTGATGAAGACAAACATACAAAGAACTCTTACAACTCAACAATGAGAAAATGAACAACCCAATTAAAAACTGGGTAAAAGGTCTGAACAGACACCTCACTGAAGAAGATATACAGATGGCAAACGAGTGTATGAAAAGATGTTATACATCATGTGTCATTAGAGAACTTCAAATTAAAATAAAGTTGAAATACCACTACACACTTACTAGAATAGCCAGGATCCAGAGTCCTGACGACATCAGATGCTGCAGGGCAGGTGAAGCAGCAAGAACTCTCATTCCTTGCTGGTGGGAATGCAAAATGGTACAGCCCTGTAGTGGAGGCCCTGACAGTTTTTTTTTTTTTTGTAATGCAAATGCATGATTCAGGCTTTGATGATTGAGCAACCATTTCAAAGAGGCACCCATTTCAAAGACTGCTATCTCAAAGAAACACATCTTCAACCACACCACTAGATAAAAAGGCAGGCTGCCTCCCACACCAAAGTTCCTTTGTTTTAGAGATCATGGTTGATCTCAACATCTGATCATCTCGGCTACTTGTTTTTGTTTTAGTTTTGCTCTTTCTCTTCCATTGCTTTAAATTCCTGCTATTGTGTTTTAAATTCATCAATAAAGAGTGAGCCTATGAAGCCCTAAGCCCCCACTGGACCCTAGTAAAAGCAGTACCCCAGGCCCATGTCCCCCCCTCCCCTCAACCTCATTATGTGGCCCCCAATGTGCTATGTAATTAACAGGTACTGTAAGTAATAAACCTTTATTTTTTCAAAGTTTCCTGATAGCTGTTGTGGAAGGGCAACTTGCAGTAACAATAAGAACCACAGGGTTGATCCACCACAACACTGGTTATTGACAGGTTGAGACCAGCACAAAACAAGCCACTTTGGAAGAGTTGTTTGGCCGTTTCTTAGAAAACTAAACCTCTTTTTCCAACTGATCCAACAATTGTACTCCCTAGCATTTATCCAAAAGAATTGAAAAATTATGTCCTCACAAAAACCTGCACATGGATGTTGATTGCAGCTTTATTCATAATTGCCAATTATTTATTTATTTATTCATAATTGACATCCTGTAGTAGGTGAATGGATAAAT